CGGAATTCATTGGTAGTGCCAAGTGATGTTCTGATTGGTTAATTCGGAATTCATTGGTAGTGCCAAGTGATGTTCTGATTGGTTAATTCGGAATTCATTGGTAGTGCCAAGTGATGTTCTGATTGGTTAATTCGGAAGTCATTGGTAGTGCCAAGTGATGTTCTGATTGGTTAATGGCATGTATCAGTTGAATTTGTGTTCAAGAAAACATGGTGGATTTCAGTATTCATATGGAACTGATCCTAAAACATTCATGGACAGTAAAAAAAAACTTTAAGTTTACATACCGGTATATTTTATAACAAACAAAGAAAATACAAATTGTTGTATCAAACCATAACTGCATAATTTGTCACATAGCCTACTAAAGCAACAAATTGAAGGAAACCTGTCAATTTCTAAATTCCATTTGTCCATTTCTCAGCACAATTTTCAATATGCAGCTGTTACACATTGGAACTCCCTCACAGTTTTATTAAAAAGTTCAAATAATAGAAATCAATTTAAATCAGATTTAAAGACCCATCTCATAAGTAGTTAACTGGCATATCCATCTTTCTTGACTATTATTACCGGTAGTATTTTAGTTACTTTATTTTCCTTGTATTATATTTGCTAACCAGGGTATATTTGTTAGTTCCTTGGAAGATTTTGTTTATTGTTTTTTTTTTCCTACCAATTAATTATTTATATTTCTTATTTTTGTTTGTATTTCAACACAAGTACGACATGGTTGTCTGGGTTTTCTTTCCTGATTGTTGAGTCTTCGCAATGTGTTTTGTATAATTATTGTTGTTTTCCCCTGAGGCAAAGACAAGCTGAAGGACCATGAAGCTAAATGGCAGTTCCATGCATGGGCTGAGTGAAAGGAAATATTTCTAAGCCTAAAATAAAACCTAATATTACATTACACCTCTTTGTGTATTTGTTAATTTTACATATGTTTGTCATGAAAGTATGTTTGTAAATATCTAGAAAAATCTCGTCTTTTGTTGATAATTTTGATTGTTTGGAATGCTGTCGACCGTGTCCCAATAATCCCCGTTGGTATCTCCATACTGACTTTAAGAAGGGCGTCGATAATCAGCCGAGACAGGACAAACATTGACTGTAATTCATGGGGATCATGTCCGTAATTTGTGGGATGAAACCCCAAATATTATTATTATAATATATATTTTATTTTACATCGCAAAACTACAACACTTGGTTTCGCTGTCAATTATTTCATTCGTCATGGTGTCTCAAATTATTGGTGGAAAAAATCAATATTGTTTGAAAGGTTAACCGTGTGACAGGACTTACATACTGTGTATTCTAAGAATAAGAATTATTAACTGAATTAAACTCAAAACCTAACAGATATTTTCTTTTGTAGAAGCTAGAGTTGTACATTTCAGAGAGGGACAAGTGTACAGAATTATCACACAGTCTCAGGTATGTGTGTTGTTTGTTTCATTTCTTCATTGGTGTGACATTTTTATCTAAAAAGTACTTATTTCAGCAAGAAAGTGTTTCTCTTTCACTTATTTTAACACAAATTGTTTTTATTTTATTTACTCCAAGAGTTTTTAGGGTAATATAAACATAATTAGAAATGATTTGTTAGAGCAAGATTAACCTTCCACCTGTGTAGATATGTTTACTTATACATATTAAAACTTTATCACACGTTTAATTCCTTATCCTGCCAGCCCTGTGCACTCTTACATTGACTTGACCAGATAAGAAACTGTATGGCCCAGGCTCTAATATTGGTTGAGTGCATTAGACACATTTAAGTAGTATTGTTTGTTTTTGTTGAAATTAAAATTATGTACAAATTCAATTTCAGTATAAGTTTGTCCATTTTTCAGGAGTAAAAACAGATAATTGTATACATAAAATATCATTAAATTTTATGAAGAGGAATATAGAACAGAAAAACAAATATGATTAATAAATTTGTCTGTCACAGGTATTATTATTTATTGATCACTTGTATTCCAAAGTGAATATGAGGTTATTACGAGCATACCTCAAAGTATGCACGCAGACAGTACAAGGGAGTATCGACAGACGTTCAGCGGAGGTCAATGCAACTGTGTACTGCATACTTTGAGGTATTTTCATAATAACCTTATTATTATACATCTTTTCCTCCCAAGGATACATCATGGGTATGCCGAAATCTAAAATGTTTTAGAACAGATTTAGAGAACTTCTTTGTGTGGGGTCTTGCAAACTTCGCGTGAACTTTAGAACACGCACACGCGTCACTCACTTATTCACTCACTCACTACCTTTCTTTACACTATGCTTTGACTAATTGAGTAATTTCCTTGAAGATTCATTGTTTTATTTATTCTCAACAACAATTTAACAAAAACTCTTAATCCAAGACGTAACTATTTAACTGCACGGAAATTCATTGGCTGTCGTCGTCATACAACACGAACAGTTGTCGTCGTTTTGGTGGTGGAGATGCAATGGCGGTCGTCGACGTAGCGGAGGCCATCTGAACATTTACGTTTATGTTGAAAGTGAATTCTGTTCTTGCCACTTGTACTGTGCCACCAGGTAGAACATTTTAGTTGTCGGCGTTTGAGGTATTTGTATTTTCTTGCAAAAATTTGGTAGATACTGGCCTGGATGTTAAAATGTCAGACATGTGTTCCGCTGGCTCTCACTTGCTACGGCATAGTGGTTGATACTGTTTACAGTATTGTGGAAACCAAATTATGTATGGCCGTTTTTCTCCCCGAATGATTCATTTTTTCTCCTAAAAATACCAGCTGTTTTGGTCATTTTCTTCATGATTGTTCCAAGGCTATTCATGCCTACTTTAGAATGTTTGAACTATAGAACTATAGCTGAAGACTGTGTCATTCCTACCGGGCGATGTGACAAAAAAAATTTGTATACATGGACTGGACATCTTTCTTGGTTTTCTGGTGTGGCAAAAGCAACAGGCTTGAATGACTGTTCACTGTTTACTTGCCCGATCATGTTTTAGTGTTTCTCTCGGAATATTCCAGATACTTTCTCCCATCAGAATTCCGTTGCAATACCACATCTCCCCATGTCATTTTATGGTGCTCGTCACTACCCCTTAGACCGAAGCATTTTGTGTTGTTGAGCCAGATGGTGTTTAGCAAGGATTTTGCATTATCGAGACCAAGCTGGCCACATTTCCACAGCGCGGACTCATCGTTGGCAGTGAGAGGTTCTGCTCTGTTCTGTTCCATTTTGCTTCAAGGCTTTATAAAAATAGTGTTGCAGGTGATTATCGAGTACTTGCGGTGTTATTTTGTGTATCTCTTGCATTTAATTTCTCTGTATTGCAGGAATCTTCGAAGGCTGTTTGTTTCGTATTTTGTTTTCTTGGCGGTGTTTTTGTTTTTTTGATCAGTGACAAAACGTTGTATTTCCGAATCTGTTGATAAATTGGCCTCGTCTGTGCTTGCTTTACCAATGTCACTGGCTAGGTTTAGCAGCTCCGCAAAGTTGTCGTCATTGCTTTTGATCGGCAATAAATCGAAATTGATTTCGTTGTCACCGTCACCATCACCACCAGGCTCAGAAAGATGAACATCTGACATGCTTCTCAGCCGATATGCATTTGACTCTGCCAATAACTTGTTGAAATAATTTGATAAACGTATTTGTTGTCGGAGCTCAAGAAACTAAGCTGCCAGGACTACACTGCAACTTGATGTACATCGTCTGCATATTGGCAGACGACGCAATGAATTTAGTGGCGCCACCTTGTACATGATATGATTTATATTTAATTCAATAAACATTTATTTCTTAATAATATTTGTGCAAAGAAATTTATTGTGTCATTAGCTGTCCGTGCCTTTTTCGTGAATGAAACGCGCAAGTAAAATTTCAAATTAAGTACCATGGAGGCTGCCATGTTTGTTTTTATTATTAGAGAACGCTTATGTGCATGATCATTTCATATTTGGAATTAGCATTTCCTAATACGGTAGGATGAAAATACCCCGTATAATACTGCAAAATTACGGCACGCAGTAACATATGGCGTATAATAATGATTTATGTTGATTTTTTTTTATAGAACAGAGAATGTATCAGTATAACACAAAAAGTCTTGGCACATAGAAGTCGACCATCATTGTTATTACAACAAATCACAGTGGAAAATGGAGCTGTAAGATCAAATTATTTGTGTTTACTTTTTATATCTATATGTTCGTAATTGTCAAAGATGGTTTTAAAAAATATAGAATATTTTGGCCCATCGTTATCGGAATGCTTGATTCAATGTTCTTTAATGGCAATTGGTATTCAGCCAGTTACCAGTTCAATTTTCTGTGACAGCAAAGACCACAAAAAGATGTCACACTTCCTAGAAACTATATTTTCAGATAACAAATTAAGTTTCCATTGAAATATTCCCTTTTTCGAAATGTATTCTCATGCTATTAGAAATGGCAAAAAACACCTTTATTCTACATGCACTGTAAATAACCTTTTCACAACCAGTTCCCTCTATTCATCCAAATTCACAAAATAGTACTGTATATATTCTGCATTTTCTTTCAGAAGATTGGGATAAAAATAGTCAAATGTTTTGAGTGAAAATTGACTCAAATTTTTTAGTTGGCTCCAGAATTAGGATTCATTTCCAGAAATATTGAAAAACGTGAGAACAAATTGCAGAAAAATTTGGGTGAGAAAGTCTTGTGGAGAAAAGGTTAAAGTAAATAAAGCTTTCTTCTATTTTCATCACAGAGTTTTGCTGCCAAGCTGAGTATTACTGTACCTGGTGCCTATGGATGGAAAGATGTGGCTACAAAAGAAAGGTAGCCTCACAGTTTTATATCTAATCAAACAAGTACAAACAAATGTATCCAATTAGTTACAATCTGTATTTTTACCATCATCACCATATTTACATAATTTCTGATATCTTGTGTCAATTACTATCATAATCAGGCTAATAAATGAAATTCTTGAAAGGAATTTACATAACGTGTTCCTTTCAACTTTTATATTTGCATGATAACAGTCATTAACAACGTGGTCAATTCTGAACATGTATGTTTACATAAATCAAATATTGTAAAACTGGTATTACATTCACTCTTTTGATGTTTTGAACAATCTCTGGATTTTCAATTCACAAAATTGGCAAGGAAACAATGAGTTCTATTGTTACCTGTATGTTACATTTTAATTGGATTTAATTTAGCGGATTTTACGTATCGGCAAGATAGAAAAAGTAAAAAACCAGAGAATAATTAATGAGGAAAATATTAGTCTCGGAAAATGTTATTATTTCAGGTATTTTAATATTTGTCATTGATAGATTTATGATAAATATTTATAAATATACTCTTTTCTTCTAATCGATCAGCTGTGACATTCATTTGCCAATATTTGGGTTAATTAAATTTCATAAAATGGACATTAATATTTTGTGACATGTATCACATTATATTTAAAGAATACCGGCGTATGCATTTTATTTACCAGTTAAAACACATCATTGTTGTTGTTTTGTCTGGAAACCATTTTACTAAAATACTTACACTCTTACATAATGAGCTGTCTTCTTTATTCCATATTTAAATTTATTTATTAAATTAAGTGATGCGATTGGATGAACTGATGTTTATTATGGCTATCACATTATTTATTATCAAATTATTTTTTATCAATTTTATTTTTAAAAGACACATAATTTTAAAAGCACCACAAAATCTTTATATTTTGCTTAGTGAATGTTCCATCAAATAACTGATGTAGAGTGAATAGATGTCCGCAGGTTATGTCATTAAGGTGTACTCACATGCAAATGATGAGCCTCATAGTGAAAAGCAGTGAACTCATTCAAATATTTATTTTGTGTTTAGATATATAAATAATAATAATAATATTCATTTAGCAATAAGTAATTTCACAGGCACTTTTATAGATGGTGAGGTACAATTGTGTTATGATATCTTTCTTCTTGTCTATTTCAGTTCAGATTCCTCTGTACCTCCTTTCACTCTGACATCAGGGATTGTGAAAGCGCCCTCTACAGACAAGACAGAAGAATATGTTTTGGTTTCCATAGCAACTTCCAGCTTACCACAGGCAATTGAAGTACAGCCAAAAGAGTGAGTGTAGTAAATTGTTTTGTCATCTAATATGTATAAGGTGATATGCACTTGCAGTACAGGAGGGGAGGGGGGGGGTTGTTAGTGTAAATATCATATCTAGAAATGTTGGTACAGTGTAATTTGTGGACTTTTAAAAACAAACATCTTTAATTTCTCTCAAAAAAGTTATTAGCTTTCATTCCAAATGTTAAAACAATTACTCAATTTTACACTAACTGGGACAAAAATCTCTGGTGAAAAAGGGAATTTTATTGCACTTGTTCAATGAGTTTTACTGATTTCTTGTACTCAACTAACACACAATGTTTTTTCATCTCAGTTCACACACTGAATGGGTTCTATCCGTGGTACATTATTCAGCTCCAGGGCCATATAGTGAAATGTACATGGAACTACATAGAAAGCTTGACCAACAAGCAAAACAGGTAATATCTATTTACACAACAAATTACACATCAACTGTATCCAATCTTGGACTATATTGTGCAAAGTGCTTATTAAAAAGATACTGTAAAATAATTTATTTTAGCTGGAATTAATTTCATTGAAAAGACTTTTTGGGTGTTTTGTATGTAATTTATGTTCACTGATTTTCGATAAATTGAATGTAAAATATAGAAAAAAATGAATATTCACTGGATTTTATTTTCACTGAATCATTCCTTCAGCAAAAATAGCAAAAATTATATCCATGCAAATATAAAGTACTCTAGAGTATTTCATGTTAGCTCTGTATGTGCCTAATATGTAAATGACTGAGGTACATGTATATCACAATAAAATATATTTTAATAATCTATCATACAATATACACAATTTTTGGTTTCTATCTTAAATAATTAGATATACTTTACTTGCCGTAGTGTAAACACTCTTTTCAGAAATGCCAAACTGAAATTTAATGGAATGGGGCTTACACATGTATATGGGTTTACACTATGGATATCTATGGTATTTTACAGTCATACCTAAAATACGTCTTTACATTTATCTTACAGAACTTGTTATTCCTTTAGCTCATATGTGTTCATAATTTAGGTTTAAATTATTAAATGTTAACACCTTGTTCTGTTACAGGAAATGATTCATTTGTTGTCTACCTACGGCCGTGATTTAAGTCCACTTGCTGATGAACACCTTAGTCAGTGGAAACAGGTGAGTGATTGTTCGTAATACTGATTCATTAACACTGAATCAACACTGTTGATGCTATTTTTTTCCCATTCCCATCTGTGGAGGGTTTCAGTAAGCGGTGTGTTGAAAAATTGACTTTGGCATTGATTTAAACTACCGGTAACACATTGTCCTTTGACATGAAGGTTGGGGGGGGGGGGTCTGAAAAATAGTAAATATAAATGAAAGGGAGCAGAAATCCACTCAATTTTGAAAGTTTATTGGAATGATAGAGAAAATTTACCAACATGCAATTTACCCATGCTTGTTTCTGTTTATTCTCATTTTGTAAATTTGAGGGTGTAGGAACCCCCACTCAAAAACTTAGTAATTGACTTAAATGGTCTATGTCTTGTTTTTGGCCTGAATGGATTTACTCTACTTCCCCTTTCATTCCCTGCAACACTCTTACCTGCTGTCTTGATTATTTCCATTATACCACTCAAATACATATATTTGACGATAAACTCACAGCCATTTATACTCTTTGTATAATTATCCTGTAAAAGCTATGGAATAGTGGTTCCGGGCAGGAAATATACACAGATGTTCAGATCAGTAAACCGACACCGGATATTATGAACGCTACCATGTATTATATACTGTCATCAGTACAGTCACCAGTTATGAGTGATGAGAAATCTTCTGAACAGTCACAGCAGCTACAAGAATATGGTTGTTATAGTGGACCACCAACCTGGTATGATTTGAAGTTTATTATTATATTTTTGTTTCCAGTAACCTTGATATGCCCTCTGTTGTCAGTTTCAAGGAAGGACACATTTATGATTTTCACATGATTTAAAAAAAAAAAAGTATGGAAATATATTGTATCTATGTAAGTTACAGTGTACCATTTTATTCTTATAATTATCTCATTACCATGATTTTTGTGTAGAAATTGTACTCTTTTGATGGGATAATTTTATGTATTTATATAATGTGGTTAACGTAAAAAAAAAAGTTACAATGTAGCATGAACCACTATACTGCTTGACCAGGTCTTGCCCAGTAAAATTCAATTACCGGTACCATACAAATTATAGGTTGTGAATAGTGTTATTACACGTTGCTGCAAATTTGACAGATCTTTCATTAATTGGAAATTAAATCTTTGCTCAACTTGATACCTCAAAGAATTGCATGCTCTCCATCTGTGCAAGCAATGTATACAATACTTGGTCAATATGATGGACAATACTTTACATTTGCACAAATTGACACCATTTTGGTAGTTTTATTTGTTTGCATAATTCAAATAAAACTACTAGCACAAAAATAAATTTGAATATTTCTTTGATTTTTGAGTGCTGTATTTCTGTAGTGCTGTATGTGTGATTAGTGTTGGCAATTGTTGTAAAACAAAAATGATATTTTTCGATTGTATCAAAGATTTATTTCTGTTAAATAGTAATGCTAAAAATCAAATGCAATTTAATAACTAACAAACTGTTTTTAAAATGTCATTCATAAAATACTGCTGTAGCACACGTTGCTGATCATAATTGCTAATTGATTGAATCACAGTCTCTCTATCAATGGAGCTTTATCCATGCTCTATCACAGGAACTTTTATTGGATCTGTAACAATCACAGAAGAACTGTGACCGGGGTGCATCAAGATTAGATGACTGCCTCAACTGATCTATGTATCTTGTTAATGTTTGATAGATATGACCTTAACACACTGTAAAAATTTTTATTTAGTATAATAATTCCATAGCTATTTTAATGTGAGCATGTGTTGTCATGGCGAATGATAATTCTAAACTTGTTGTAATTACGACCTTGATTGATTCTATGATCTTAATTTGTTCCACATTGCATGCATTTCACACAAAAACCTTTGATCACTTGAATAGATGTTCATTGTACAAATATTATATACAAAAAACTTATAAATAAAAACCTAAGCTTGGTCAGTCATGTGATATAAAATATTTCATTTTTAGTTACCAGAAGAAGGTACAAGATGATGATTTACAAGGGGCCCTTGGTGAAATGTTAAACACATTGCCATTATTGAGATTTTACGTGTCACGTACCAAAGTAATGTGCATCATGTGTCATCATCAGGTGACTTTTCAACAAAATGTTGACTAGTTTCACATCACATTTTTTGTGACTTTTCCCATGCAGTTGCATGTAAAACAATATTTCAGTAAGACCTGAATTTTGTGTGCTTATATTTAAATAAAAAATGCTCAAAATCAGAGCTATTGTCGCTTTATTTAAATTGTTCATTTCATTTGTCAGGTTAGACGAGGATTACTGGCAGCAGGTTTACACAGAGCAGGAGTTAGCTGACCTAGTCAAGCTATGGATTCATACACTATTCAAAAATGGATGCACAAGTCAACTAACAGCTGGTAAGAAAAATTTAATCATTAATATCATCAGTTTTTTCTGTCCAGACTTCAGATCCTACCTGGGGGATGTACACTAAAAAAGAAGTTTATGCATGATTTGACCACTTAGCCCATAAGGACCTGTGCTTCAACTCAACTTATGGCTGCATATAAATGGATTGCACTAATTTGTTGATACTCAATAGAGTCAAAAACATTTATTTTCTTCTTCTTCTGATGTAAATAACTTGGCATTACACTTTGTGTACTTAACATGTTTGTACACTTTATAATACCAACATCAATGTTGTGTTCAGTGGGACCAATCTTTTTGGCAGAATTCTTAGGCTAATGCGTTGCCTTAGTATTTTAGCTATTGTTACAAAATAGGTAATTCAATAGCAAACCTTTTGGAGTGCTCGCAAAAACTGTTTTTATTGAACTCACCCCAGTTGTCTTTCTCACTTGATTGATTTAACTATTCCAGGTGCTTATGGTGTGATGCAGGCAGTGCTACTGAGTCTGCTCGGTATCAAGCAAACAGAGACATATCTGGCCATTAATTCTGATCCACGATTATTTAAACATGATTTATATCTGAATAATATAATATATAATGATAACTACTTGGATTTGAATATCCTGACTAACAGTAAAGCAATTCGTGTCAGAGTGACACCAAAAAAAGATATGGATGAGAATGGGAAGAGGAAACATACGTTACTGTATGCATGTGACGCAGGGTGTCCCAATGACCCAATCCCACTAGGGTATGTAACTGGCAATTGCTGTTTATTTTCTATTATGTGGTAGTCAGTCTGGACACTCCCATGTGTTCATGCGTTAATAAGTAGGGCTGGTCAAGAAGGAGGGAACTGTCAGGTGTGATTATGTCTTTTTGTTTGTCTGTCCATGGAACCATGGTCTGTCTGATTATATGTATAGAATTGGATTGAGTGTACACAATTGTGTTTGTTTTAATTGAAAATGAATTTCATTTTATTTGTTGTATGGACCCACATTGAATATGACATGGTGTGATGATGTAATTGTTATAGGAATACGTCAATTTCCTTCTTTATTTTGTTACAGACGTAAATCTCAAGTTTTCACTTTGAAATATACTGAGCCGCAGTCATCATTTTTGTACATAGCTGAAAAACCAAACCATCTGGTAGATTTACGAAAATTCTTGCATATTAAAACTATTAAACATGGTGAGTATTGACTGGTTTTTGGTTTTTATGTAAAATGGCAGATGGCACTTTGTTTGATTGAGCATGTGGTTTTTTATATGGAAAGCACGCTTAATTTACAAAATGATTATGTTCTTAATAGTGACAGAAAATTGAATTTTCTGTCACTATTGTCTGCTTTACTATCTTTCTCAAAATAGTTTTTATCTTTTTATTCCAAATGTCAGAACATCACCAATTGTAACACATTATGCTATGTCTATGTTTCAAATACAATATTTTTCTGGGCATTATAAGATACATGTACCGGTAAATTTTGTGTGAAAGTGAGGACTTGTAATTTCACCTCTGTGTGTCTTTCACCTGTATCTCAGACATGCCTTAGCTGATTTCATTCAAATATCGCACACACATCACACGTCCCATGCAATATCCCATGCATATGTTTCAAGATCCAATTCAAGATAGCAGAGTGACAGCTATTTTAGTGCTAACAAGTCAATCATTTCTGCCAATCATGAACTGGATCTCAGTCATGCATGGACATGTTTCATTCAAACTTAGTGTATCCATTGAACATAATGGGTCCTAGATGCACATCGTTTTTGTTTCAGATCAGATTGAAAATGCCAATTGGTGGTCTACAATTCTTATTGCTTTGATACTTGATAATTGTACCTTGGGTAGACCTCTCTCAGATTTGTCCATTTAGTGATGATATCTTTAATTCTCTAATTATGATGAATATTTTTGTCATTTTTGGTAAAAAGTGATATTTTCGACTTAATGTTGAAAACCGCAAGTCCGATGTGCAAATGTGCACTGCTAACAGTGGAGCTATTTCAGCCAAGAGACTGCTTGTTTAACAAATGCAGTTCCAATGTCATATTTCTGACATGCTTTGATCGATCGTTAAAACTTCACACATACATGTACATCACACATCATATCATACATGTATTTGTTTCATGACCCAAATCAAGATGGCCAAATAGTGGTCATTTTTGCACTAAAAATTCATCTAAGTCGAGCATTTCTGCCATTTGCAACTGGATCTTGGTCAATCATGGATTCATTCCTGTGAACATGTTCAAGCTCACCCATTAATAAAGCAATGTACATTATACCTGTGTTACCACCTCAATCTGATATAATTACTGTTTTTTTTTCTTTTCACAGTGTCATTGCCGCAGCCTCCACCTCATACTACTGTCAGGCTGCCGACCATCTTCTGGGTGACTGTGGTTATTTTGATTGTCTCATTCCATTTATTTTTATTTAAATTAATTTTTAATGAATTCTGCTCAGGACAAGACAAATTCCGTGATCCAAGACCATAGCAAGGGAGGGCAGAGGGTATGCGTATTGATGTGTCTGAACTGAACATGATTAAAAACACATCCAATCTGTGTTTTAACTGCTTTTCAATACTGTAAGAACAAAATTGTTTGGAAAGTAATGATCATGTCTTAAGGTACATGGTCAGTGATTAGCTTCTGCAAACAGTATCAATACATATCGTTGACTTTCAGAGAGCTTCATTAAAAAATAGAAGGGGTGAGTTAAACGAAACTTTGAATATGACATATGATTTTATAAGTAATTAAGCATGTTACAAGCATGGATGCAAAGAATCAAGTGATTCTGAAGATAAATGCTGTTACTGAATAGCCATCTAAAGTAGATGAAAATTATCTGTCTTAGTTTTGGTGTGCATGTTTTTAATTTATCATTGCTACAGTGTATGATCTAATGTATCATTGCAATTACTGACCGTGTACCTTAATGTGGCCATTCACGTCATATAAAACTCAAGTTATCTCTCCCCAAGTTAGTGAAAAATAACACATTAATTGCAATGTTAATACTGGCATATATACCACTAAAGTGAGGTATGAACTGTAAGCAATATATACCGATAAGACTTACAGAAGTGTCAAAGATCAATGTTTGTCTACTGCAGTAATTCTTGAGGCTGTGTACTGGATTGTAAATTTCTTTTACAACTAACTTTATTTTTAAGTTATTTTCATTTTTTTGAATTCTTGGTTTGTTTGTATATTATTTGTTAACAAGTTTCCCAAATACACTGACATATGTTTAATAGATAGATTAGACGATGATGTGATGTCAATCATGTTTGATTTTGTCATTGCATAGTTTACCTGTATAAAAATGTCTTATCCTCCACTGGTATTGATTAATGTATTGTTTAAACTGCTGGCTAATCTTCTACCTACAGGATAAACATGTGCACTACAAAGTAATATGACCATTTGCATAATTTTTAAATCGATTGAAATTCTATCAGCTGATTGGTAGTTTTTGACACATGACAATGGCTTCTTCATTTTTCTGGTGTGGCAACTATATTTCTGTCATAGAGTAGTTTTATACAAACAATTAATTTATATTTATTGTATTTTGACAATTTATTTTTGACAGTTGTGCTAGTGGAAACATACACATATTGCCAGCTGGAAACATCTACGGATTGTCAAAATGAATCTGAAAAACTGGCATCGGCAGGCAATGTTTGTGTTTCATTAATGTTATTATGTATATTGCAATAAATGTGGTAGGGACATTCATGTTTTGAAATAAAAGAGAAGTTATAATATGTGGGTCTTTAAAATGAATTAAATGAAAAACCAAATGCTTGATAAAGCATATAATGTTCATACGTAAATATAATTATAAACTTGTTACGCAATGCCTTTTTATTTTCTGGTATAGATCAGGCGGCATCAATGAAGCTGATTGACTCAGGTAAGGTTCATGTCAGACAGACAAATAGAATGTAAACAAACGCAAGGTTGTTTATTTCCCCACTGATGTGTATATATGTATGCACTTATTGCTAGACTGTGCTCTATTGCTATTTTGACAGTCAGGTCACTTGTTCCGAGTACATGAACTATGGAGTGATGAGCATAAAAAAAATGACATCTGATGCAAAAATATTTGATCTAGGCCAACTCAACTCACCTCACCTCACCTCACCTCACCTCACCTGACTTGTCTTCACTCATGGAACATGTTTGTATATTTATGGTATTGTCCCCAAAAAAAGTTTCCTTTAAATTGAGAAGGAAATAGCATTCCAACTTAAGTCATGGGAGAACTCCTGGATGACTGGCAGGCGGTGAATCTGTTAGTACCAGGAGGTTGAACAATGGAAGTCTCCACGTGTC